CCAACGGGGACTGAAGGGCACGTGACTTGCGTACGTGCCCGCCTAGACGTTAAATAGACACACACACACACACACACACGCTCGATGGGTCTCTCAAGGTACCAGCTATCAAATCGAACAAAAATGATAATCGACCAAGATATCTTGCATGCTTCGACTTGTATTTTGGGTAATAAAGCCGGTACAATTGCGTCTCGTTGCATGAGCGGTGAGCCCGTCAAACTTCGGTTGGTGGAAAACGAGGAAGAAGAAGAATAAAGACAAGGAACTTGCATCGGTAGAAAATAACGTTCCAAACTGGTTTTAATGTACGTAGACCTGAGAAACTTAGGGGAGCATAATACTTTCTCATCCGGTCGGGAAAAGCTTCTGTTCTGTTGAGGGCAGGACGGGTCAGGGATCGCGCCTTCCATTCTTGTAGTGAACCAAATCCGTTCTCGGTTCAGCAAGGTAATGCGAGAGAATTGAATATGTGGCTGTGGAAGCTCCTTAACCAGATGCCGTTTAAATGCAGGAAAAGACGATCTAGCTAGTATTCTTAGGACTTAGCGAGGTCACTATTTCCTAGAAGTGACTAAATGACCTCCAGTTGGATTAGGTCGAAAACACGTCCTCCTCCCCAAAGACAGTACCAGTTAGCTTAGAATTCCCGTAATTGATGTTCGAATATGGCGCTATTGCGATATATCCACCACTTTTATCCCGTGGATATCGGAAAGCTTAGCCTTTACGAGTACTTAACTCAGTACCGTCCTTTGATTTCAACATCAATCAATCAACTATTATACCTGCTTTTATGTGCCTTTTTTTTTACTGTTTTGTACCCTTATTTCCGAGTATCTCTCGTACCAACAGACGCCTTTGTTCTTGAAGCATATTCTGATATCCGGGGTGCAACATCGACAGGAAAGAATTTCAAAGCGGAGAGCTCGCACCGTTTTGACTCGCTACACCAATGAAAAAAAGGGGGATAAATGCAACCGAGAAAAGACTCCATGAATTGGATGTGGAACTGCAGGCATAGACCCAAGTTCCCCACTACCTGCATGTGAATTGTGACTAGACGGAGCTCTCCAGGCGGTCTGGGCTGCGTTCCTTCCCTGTTTTTCTCTCCTTGCACTATTTGAGCTTGTGGTCGAGTTCAGTGTCTCACATCTCTGCTATAGAACCATCTGCAGGTCAGCGCTCGCAAGTATACCCGCATCATCAATAAGAAGGAAGGAACGACAACCAAGATTTCTCTCCACAATCCTTAACCATTTGAATCTTAAATTCGCACCACTTTTTTCTTCCCCTCTTCTCATTCAACAACACAACATCACCACGACCTCGCATCAACCATCATCCCCATTCCCACTCCTATCCACTCCCGGAAAGAGGTCCGATGCACCGAGGTCGGATACTGCAGGGAGAGCCAGTGGTACACTCTACCATGTCTGACAAGAGGCCTTCGTGGTTGTCTTTGAATGTGCAAACACGTTTGAGAAAGACCGGCTGCTTCCTGGGTCCTGCGAGCGGTATCTGAATAGGTGATAGGTGTGGCTTTACCCCTTCTGGTTCTGTCCGGCGGGTTACTCCTTTAGTACGTTTGCTGGCTCTGGTTGTGGTTCTGGAGGTTTGGTTGTGATGTTGGTGGTGGGTATGTGCTGAGATGGTGCAAGTGGTTGCTAAGGTATGTTATTCCATTGGGGGAGGGGATTGAGGTTGAAGCTTACTGATCAATTGTAGTTTTGTCATCCACGAATACAAGAGGCTCTTGGTCATGGCCGTCGATATGTCATATTTTCTTTCGACGGTATGTGTTAACCTGAAGGGAAATACTTTATCTTTGTTGCTAATTGATTGCAGTTACGTCGTTCTGGATTTCAAAAGCTCGCTTTCACGGCTAATGGTTTCCTCCTCGGTAAGTCAGGACTGGAAATCGCGCTGGTTCGGGTTTTTTCATGGATTGGTGAGTATCAACACATCCTTACAACTGTTCGCAGGTCATCACTGTCTCGCTCTTCATGAGACCCATTCTTGTGGTCGTTAGCCAAGTTCGACCCCGAAGTTTGAGACCCTCGAAACCATTGATATGCACTACTGGCTCGTTGTCATGCTATTGAAACTGTTTCGCAGTTCAACACCGTCCGATCCTTTTCCAACAAACTGACCTCTCACGATTACCTCAATTCATACTGAAAAGTCAGAAATTGTCGTCATCACTTCTCTGCTTCCTGAAGTAGCGAGATATAGATCGCTAAGTTGAACGGCCCCCGACGCACTGACGAATGTCACGAGAAAGAAGCTTTGGAAACTATCGGCAGTGAAGATTCCATTCTCTAATTAGAGACTTCCACTTTTGAGATGTATTTTTCAATGTTTCTCGGGCTATGGTCCTCTCGTTACCCATGGATTTCTCCCGCGCTCCTCGCTGACTCCTGTCTCTCCTAGCCAAATATTTGTTGATCTCAGAAGCTGCCACTTAGCATTTCGATCGGAAAGACGATTTTATCGTGCGGTTTCAATGTAGGTATCCTATGTGTTAACTGAAATATTCGTGCCGGTATAGGTAAAAGCCACTTTTTGAATCAAGTGATCTAAATCCATCTAAGTCCGAGTAGTTGACACCTAAATTTAAATGCTTAAGCGGATACACGGGAAGGATATCTCTACCCTAGTATTACTATCTGAACTCATGAGAAGAAGACTTGAAAAATCCGTACTTATAGGTAAAATTAATCTTAAATAGGCTTATAGTAGCCTTAATAAATGAACAAACAGAATAATCCAGAAAGCATCGCGCACAGATTAGAGTGTAACAGGAGGTGAAAATGCTCTAGGGAGCCTAGAATTAGACGAGAAAAGCTCTGCCATATGGATAGGTGGAAAAGGGGTGAGTCACGTGGCTATGGTACACGTGACTTTATACCCATATTCCAGTTCGTAACAAAAAGTATTAAAAGTCAGTAGTGCTTAGTGAAATTCGATATGAACTATGGGCAAAGCCCAAAAATCCACTTGATTTAAGAACATAGTAATTTAGATTCCTTTGCTAATACGCAAAGGCTAAAGTTAGGTATAAATTACCTTGTTTACGATTGTTAGACCTAAAAGATAGCTGGAAAACGGCACGAAACGGTTTTCATAATGTTACACGTTGACCGTCCTTTAGGCAAGAGTCTGTTGCTACTGGAAATACTACTGGAAATACAAATCATTGTACAAATGGGGTAGCAGAAGCTCAAAATCCCAGCCTGAAGTCTTCATATACGCAGCTCGAAGCAGGATGGTTTCGATTGCTTCACATCCACCCTTCGTCGGAAGAAGAGTCCATTATAATCCGCGATCTCAAACCTTACGCCCTCGGTCGCTGACCACCATACGATTCCTTATCTTATACGTGGGGCTCAGATTCCTGTCTTCAGAAGATTATACTCGATGGCACACCAATCCAGATCCGAGAAAATTTGTGGTTAGCGTTGCACCGATTCCGGACTCCCGAGAAAGAAAGAATTATGTGGGTCGACGCCCTGTGTATAAATCAAGCCTCTATACCAGAGCGTAACCAACAGGTTGCGATGATGTCTCGATTCTACGCCGAATCTCAAGAAACTCTAGTTTGGCTTGGAGAGAGTTCCCCGGGTATTGACGAAGTCCTTTCTTAACTGCATTATATCTACGGACCAGAGTCCAATTCGACAGAAGGAGTTCATCTGACAGGGCAGTTGCAAAAGGATCCTTCACTAGCTCGCAGTTTAATCGTGACCTTGCCTTCCATCATCGCCCACCTTTGCCTAACCCAAATGTATTGGAGGCGTGCATGGATTGTTCAAGGAATCGCTTGTGGCAAAATAGTCACTGTGTATTGTGGAAAGAATTCTGTGGATTAGGACTCATTATACGAGTGTTTCGTTGAAAGATTTGATGTTAACAAAATTGTTCATTACGAGTTAAGTCATGACGAGGTCGATACGATTCGAGCTTCAATACAAACTATTCAAAGCACGCTGTTGCCTCTTGTCTCTGCGCGACTAGGAGTCAAGTTAGATAAAAAAGACAAGGAGAACGATTTTTCTTCCCTGCCCTTTTTAATGAAAATGTTTCAAAATGTCGAAGCTACGGATTTGCGTGACACTGTCTTTGCGTTCCTCGGCCTCGCAAAGTCAACCTATGATGTGAGAGCAGATTACGGGAAGACTTTGAAGGAGGTGTGCATCGATGCCACTCGATCATTCATTCAGAATAGCGATAGCAATGACGAGTTTTGGTGGCTCACAGGGGACTGCGAGGAACTCCTCAGCTCTGAATTTCCTTCGTGGACCAGAGATCCTCGACTTCGCGCGAGAAAGACCCCCAGTATATCACCAAAGATATTTAAAAACCAGCACTCGACGGAATGTTACTCTGCTGCGGGTTTGGATAGATGCAGCCTTAGAGCAAACATTAGTTTTAGCATGAATGGGGATGTTCTGGGCGTTAGTGGGCTTCATGTAGACGAAGTAATTATGGTTGGTGGTGCTTTTGACCAGGAGGACGAGACTGCTTTAGCCACTTTACACTCTTGCCACGATATTGCCATTCCGGATCAAGAGGAAATCGCGGACTGTTTTGGGATTTGCGGTAAATCCGAGGCGTTTTGGGGTACAGTACTCATTGACCAACCATTGTACGAATATTATGCGAATAATTATCAAGGGGATGATTAGGGACACCGCCTGGGACGTTCGACTATTGTAGATCAACTGATTTGTCCTCTATCTTGTTGTGATGTTTCAGCGTGTGTATTCATCGCTGTTCTTGAAAAAGAGCACTGAAAAAGAAGATTCTTCATGACTTTAAAATGGTTCATGGGCCTGGGGCCCTATAATGCTAGTGTCGGTGATCACGTTTATATTCTGTTTGGAGTTGATGTCCCATTTGTTCTCCGGAGGATGGAAAGCAAGGGTAACTTCAGAATCATTGGAGACTGGTTAGTGTTTATACCGAAACCATAAATGAAACGCTACTTACTCTTCATTTCAGTTATACTCATGGGTTTATGGACGGAGAGATTCTAGAGGCAGAACGGAGGGGTGAAGTTGAGATGGAAAGCATCAATATCCACTGACTTGGTATGCGTTGGACTTCACAGGAAGGATACAATATTGCTGATTCATTTGCAATTATATACGAGTCTCTGTTCTCCTACTTACTAACTTTAATCTTTAACTACAAAATGTCAAACCAAAAGACTGCACCATACTCCTTCACCCTTCACCCCCCTCCCAATCACTGCTCTTCCCGCTTATCAAACACGGAAATCGGATGATGGAACCAGAAACTTGCCGTTCCCCGTTTCCCCGTGTTAAAGACCAGTGAATCCCAACGCCAACTACCTAAAAAGGAAATTTCCCAAAGCTTTTGTTGCATGTCGCACTGCTATGACATCAACTTATTGTGCACCTTGAAAAATTGACACCGAGAAATCGGTAGATTCTGTGTTTCACTAGGACCACATCTCGCTTACATTTCGTTTACACTTGAGATTTTGGGTCGCGAGGAAACAGGGATGGAAGTTACAGAAGGCTTGTTTTAGCGATAAATGAGCAGCTGGAATTGACAGCCAAGTTTACTTTGGCATTATGAGTTGGTTTAGGTAATTGTAGAGCAGCTCGCCTAAAAAGCTCTTCCGGTGGTCTTGTGGAAGCTTTTGGGTAGCAGAAAGAGACTCCATTGGGAGTTGTGGGAACATGATGAATCTGCTATTTATAATAACATGGACACGAACCAGTCATACGAAGGTTAAGATAATAAACATGTCTATACAACCAGAGCATTACTAGGACAGCCTGGGACTCACTGGGACCTTGGTGTAAGTGAGAAGATGAGAGCCGTCCAGATCTTTTCTCGTGTACAGGTGGGGACGACCAGACTCAATGCAACAGAATCCCTGGTATTATTGTTCTACGCGAAAGGATATGCGCTGTCATTTGTGTATGGATTGCAGTTCTTTTAATCTTTCTGTCATAGGTTTAAGAAGTTTAAGGTATAAGAGGGGAATAAGTGAGGATCGCCTCTATACAAAGACATGTGACAACGTAGAATACGGGCGGGGTAATAGGACAAAACAGAGAATTTAGAAGAGATTGGTGGGATGTTAGAGGAGTGTTGATGGTTGTATGGGGTGCCTGTTCAAAACAAAGCTTTGATGTGCTCCTTCGGGTATAGTGAAATCGGGTTAGATAATCGTAATATAGAGTTAGTAAAATGCCTCTATTGTGCAAGATCGATGGTCAGGTATTATTTTGTGTAATATGCCACCTGGGGTGCGCCTTTTCACCATGCGTACGGGTTTGGAAAAGATGCAGCAGGTGCCAGGCGAATCTTTATGCCGATTCATTTCGACATCTAAAACATATATATCTCTTCGTGAGCCAGGAAAGTCATTTGCCCCGCAGAGAAGACGCCTGCCTGGTTCAAATACTAGCACTCACCCGATTGAAACATAAACCACTGAACGAGATCAAAAGTCGCTCCATGCTTTCAAAGTAATACCACGTCCGAAAGCCTTTGATCTTAAGCCTAGGTAACTAAGACAGGGGTTTATGTAATAGAGATAAGAGTATATAACTCTTAGCTAGCTAAGACTAACCGATATATCGTAATAGCTACTCTTTTATCTAAGCCCTATGTCGCTACTTATATAGCCGTTCATAACCCTTACTCCCCCGACCTCCTCAAGTTAATCGTACGTAGATTCCACACTACTAAGCGAATAGAGGTAGGTAGGCGTCGGGGTGGTCCCCGGCCGGGGTTAAGCGAGTAGGTTATATAGGAGAGAAGCTACTACTAGAATCCTTTATAACGAGGGTCTAGGAGTTGAGACTGAGATTAATTCTAGGCAAGCGGCTCTCCTAAGTCAGTCTTTCAGCGATCTGAAACAAAGACAATGAGCTACCATAGCATGTGTCCTCGCTCTAGGGTACAGAAAATACTATGTGGATTAGGTATTGGAGGTACGGTGTAATGGCACTGAGAAACAGTAATATTGGTGATTTGTATGATTGTAACTAAGGAGAACGGAGAACTATCTATAGTGGTACGAGGTATATGTATAACCTAGGGCTAGTCCCTAGGTAGGTTTATATATTCTAAGGTATTAAGTATAGATATAGAGTACTACTATACTAATATTAGGTATTCGCTAGCTCTCTAAGCTTTACGCCTCATCTTCGGAAGTAAATCCTAATAGTTAAAAAGTTCCGAGTTAAAGTAGCTCTAACTAGATTACTATTATTCCCCATTTCTACGACGTAAGATAATATTAGCTATCGGATAAATAGATAGAGCGACTAGCTACCGCGAAATTATCGCTAGATATAATAAATTCCATGGACGGAAACAGATATCGCTAAACAAGGAGTTTCGAGTCGAAGAAACTGTCACGGATGCCAACAAAGGATAAAGTGTATACAGCTTTTGAATCACTTGCTAGAACTAAAACCGTAGGTACGAAGAAATCAAACTAAAGAGAGAAGAGAATCTGAAAGGAGCGAAGTTATTTAAGTTGTTCCAATGCCAAGTCTCGTCACGTGCTTGGCCAAGCGAATGAAATCCTGTCAAATGAAATCCAGCTCCGTCACAGAAACGTTAACGAGACTACTATTAGCTTACGTACTATACTAGGAATAGTATCTATGGAACATAAATTATAAATTACCCTTAATTATAGAGACAACGACTACGATAAAGAGTTCTGCGTCGGAGTAACGTTATCTCCTCTACTACTAGCTCGCCTTTCGGGCGCCCGGGGAATAATATTTATCGGACGTAAACTATAAATCGTCGTTACTTACAGAGGAGACTATGAGAAGTAGTTCCGCGTCGAAGTAGCGTTACCTCCCCTACTACTACCTTACCTTTCGAGAACCTACGAGGATAGCCTTTATCGAATCCGAAGGGAGAATAACTAATCACCCTTGATTATAAATAAGATAACTACCGAAGTTAGGGCTGTTACAGTATAACTAATCCGTGATAATATTATTATTAAGAGTAGTCTTCTATTTAAGGTTAACGAGTTTCGTATTCTTAGGTTACTTCTTATTAGAGAGTATTAGCGTAGGTCGTTGTCGAAACCTATATCTATATCTCGGTCTTCGGACTTTTTGTGACAGACGTGCTTCAGGTAGAACTCAGAACAATTAACACTCTATTCTTAGGACAAAAGACGAGGAAAGAAGGAGAGCTCGAGAGAGCTGGGAACTAAGTACAGGTCGTGCGCGCTAGCGCCTCGCTAAGCGAGCATGTGACATCCAGCCCTCGTGACCATAACCGTCACACTTTTCGATATAGAAGATACTACCTGAATTATATTTCTATTATTCCTAAAACCCTCTAATAAACTCTATTCCCCTAACTAATTTAGCAAACAAAATCCTATAACTTCTTTACTAATCTCTTATTTCGCGTAAGATTCTTATACTAGTATCGGCTACTAAAGAAATAGTATAATAAGGCAGTTTTAAAGATATAGAAAGAAAATTAAAAGGGAGAAGTTAAGTAATTAATAAATATTTTCGCGTAAGAAAGAAAATCGTATTAGATTATTTAAAAGGAATAGGAAAATAAAAAGACAATAGTATAGTCTGTATAAAAGAGATAAGTTAGGAAAGAAATTATTCTTTTAAGATTCGCGTAAGAAGTTTAAGAAAACAAAAACACTCTACTCTTTTCATATAATCTAATTCCCTAAAACACTGCTTCAAGTTAATATCGCGTAAAAGATTAATCATTTCACGTTCATTTCACATTCACAGCCTATTTACAACTCTAAAAACCAACTTTAAAAAAAATCTCATTTCAGCTGCAAAAAACAGGGGTATCTACACTAACAAGAACCACAAAAACCACAAAAGACCACCTATTCCTCCTCCAAAGCAGCACGCAAAGCAGCTTCCAGCTCCGCATCACTTCCCCCTTCCTCCCCATCGTCAGCACCAAAAAGACTCTCCATATCATCGTTGTTATCGTCGTTTTCGGGGACGGAGACAGGAGAAATGGCAGGAACGGGAGCGGGACCAGGAACAGGCGCAAAGATAGGAGTAGAACCATCGATCGATGGCATGGAAAGGGCAGAGAGAGCACCCGAACGAATGGGAGGCGCAGAGAAGATACCGGAGACGGCGGGGGCGGGCGTAGGAACGGGGGGTTGTTGGGTGGGAGGTTGAGGTTGAGGATGGGGTTGGAATTTGGTGGGAGTCTATGATTATGTTAGTAATGAATATATGGTGAAGACATGATGAAGGCATAGAAAAAGTATACAGAATGTATAGAAGAGTAATGAATAGAAAATGAAAACATACCCTTCCCAAAAACGCCATCTCACCACTCGCCTTCTCCGGCTCCAAAAACTCCACCGAGCACCCAAACTTCTGTCTACACTTGCTACACTTGACGCGATCGATCCACACAAAAGAGATCTCCTTATCCTTGACATAGAAGCGATTGTGCGCCCCACAAACCTCCCCATCCTTCATCGCCTGGCAGCGGAAAAGAGGGTTCTCCGCCTCGGGGAGATTGCCGAAGACGTACAGACGGTTGGCTTTTGGTAGGATGTACGGCTTGGCCTTCATGTCAGCCTCCTCACGGAGGGCGCGTTCCTTCTCAAAGACCTCGATGCGGGCCTTGAGGGAGGCGTTCTCGATGATGAGATCGTCTCGTTGGGTCAGGAAGGATTTGCCCTGTGCGAGGAAGGCGGGGAACTTGATGGGGGCGAACTTGGTAAACCATTCGAAGGCTCGGTAGGAGAGGGAGAGGACAGAGAGGATTGCGGAGTCCTTGGCCATCATTTGGACTTCCCGCTCAATTGCGGTGCAATTGGTTGGATCGATGGTGTTTCCCCAGGTGTTCAGGTTGGTGATGAGGCGTGTGATGTCAGGGATTTTGCCGCGGAAGAATTGGGCGGGTTGGAGGAGCGATTGGTGCGGGTCTAGTGGTGAAGGAGCTTGGAATAGAGTTAGCAATTGGGTATCCGATAGATCAGAGTGGAATAACATACCAGAGGGCTGCGATGCCATGCTCGAAGCTTGCGATTGGACGCGAGAGGACCTTGGTACAGTACCGGCTACGCCTGGTACGAGAGAAGGGGCTTGAGACGAGTTCGACATCCTTGGTCCAATTTGTTGAGCCTGCGATGGTGGGTGGTGATATGTGGTGACGCGGTTGGCACCACCAGTCTCCTCAGGAAGCGAGACGACCCACGCACTGGCCACCTCCTTTGGCACATTTATATTCGAAGGAGCGCTTTCAACCCCGACTTCGTTGTCCACAATAACATGCGGATTGGACTGTTTACCTAGGGTCCGACGAGTAGGAATGTACGGCGGATTGCGTGGATTGCATTGCGCTATAGTTGGCGCCAAGTGTCCGCTGGGAAGATTGCTGTGTGGTCCAAAAGGCAACAGTACGTATGGTATGGGATCGTCCTTGCTGGCTCTCTTTCGTTTCCGTTGAGCATTCACCGGAGAGGCGCTCAAAGTCTTGCGCGTGGCAGATGGTGGTGAAGATGGGGTGTTCAAGCGTTCATTTGTGCTACTGCCCTTGAATGAGGATTCATATGAGCTTGGCTCATGTTCCGTGACCGTGACAACATCTTGAAGCGGCTCGGTCGTGGCAGACAAGATGCTCTGTTCCTGAACTTCTTGCAATTGGCGAGGTTCCAAGGAATCTTCAAGACCCGAATCAGTGAAACTGGTAATAAGCTTCGGAAGGGATGGTGTGTTTTTGATATTGCCACTGGTCATCGATGAAGGCTCCTGGAATATGTCCTGCGATCTGTTAGTGAAGAACTATACAAGCAGTGAATTTCTTACGAAGTGGGTGAATTCAGCGGGAGGAAAGGATTGGGAGTGAAAACTGGTATTTGTTAACTTTTTCTTTTTGCTCGAGAACTGTTCTTGTTGAAACTCGTTTTGAAACTCATTATGAAATAAGATATTGCGTTCATATCCTGGTGGACGTGTCATAGAAAGAGGTTGATCAAGATGGGGTTGGTCCTCTGGTGGTGGCAATTGCAGATGAAAAGATCTGGCTCTTTCCATCAAGTGTTTTTCCGTCTTGTTAACTCGAAAGTTCTCTGATATGATCTTGTGCTCGAGAAGACGCTCATTGTTCGCGGACCGAGCATCGTATTCTGTGGATGCAATTGTAGGTTCGCGATCTTCTGGAGGGTTGCCTTCGCCTTGTGGATCCTCCAGCGGAGTAGGAGCTCCAAATCCTGTATTTTCCATCGTCGCAGAAGGATATGAGGCTTGAGATTCTTTTTTGAAGATACCTGTTATTTGGTTTGCGTTCTTTCTGTATTCTGCGAAGATGAGTTTGTGTTTTGTCAGTGGTTGCGTCAAGCTTGAAGTAATTGCAGAGAAGTCCTCCTCTTGGATTGAAACCCAATTCCTCAGATGATTCAAAACAACATGAAAGGACGCGCTCTTATTCAATGCACAAGACTGCGCAGGCAGGTTGTGTTGTGTTGAGTGTGGATAAGATGGCGTCGGAGGAGGAAGTGGAAGAGGGGGAGAATATCAATTTTCAGTTGTGGGAGGGGGCCCAGATCGGAGAGAGGATCGACCCGGCAACTTAGCGCGACAGCACACAACAGGACAAGCGAGTGCAAATTTCAACAGGACAAGAAAGAGATTAGAAATGGAGGGCAGGGCCTGCTTTTGCAAGTTATGGGGTTTCCATAATCAAAATGTTGATTTTGAGACCCCTTTCTTTCACACTACCCCTTTTTCGCTTAGCCATCTCTGAGTACGAAAATCTTGTGTTTTGAAGCATCCTGCTATAAAGCTACAACCAGGACAGCAACAAGAATAACAATCAGAAAGCACTTCCCCGTGGCAGCACCAACAAGGCAGGATGTGTTTTCAGTGCCTCTTTAGCTACTGTATACCAGATTCTGCGTGGATTTCAAGTACATTAGTTTTGCAGTATCACCCATACACAAAGCAAACAAACTACTGGATTTCTGTTAGCGCTTTTTCAGATATGATTTAGAAATGGTGGTCTTGGACTTCTTACAACTACTACTTTTCTTTGCTCTGGCACTGTGATTGAGTGATGCCAAGATGAGCTTGAGTTCCTTCAGAGGTAGCGATAATATCATGACACTTATGCCCAAATGAAGTGATAATGTTGGCTTTTACCATCAACAACCCCATGATACAACCCCATGATGCAGGTTGATGGTAGTTGAGTTACAGTTGCAGCTGTCCACAATTAATAATGGGGATGGCGTTCGGCCAGTTATTCCCCTTCTGGCCTAGTGAGGGGCAATCGGTGCAGGGGCAGCTCGGTGGCTGGAGCCCAACGTCAAAATAAGCTTAAAGCTAACGAGATGACCTTCACCTGCTCCGACCCTATCACATCAAATCCCATAAGGTTGAGGTTCACCAACTTGGCCTCCCCACCATAGCTTCTACAGCTGGAGCTCTGGCGCCCGCAGAATTGTTATAGCATCGCACTCTTTGCTTTTCGCTTGCTGGCTCCGACGATGTCTGTAATTTTGTGCACAGGTAAGTCTCCCCCAGTCGGGCTATCTCGGCACGCAGAAGCAGAAGCAGAAGCATCCAGCTGCGCTGCGCTGCGCTGCGCTGCGCTGCACTGCGAAATCTCAACCACGGCCATCTTCCCTCCCCATCCCACGACTGCTTCTCCCCATAGAAAGGCAGTTTCGAGATGGCGAGAACTCCTCGAGGTTACGATGATGATGCTGACGAAGATCTGATTCTTGCGACAGCTGGTTATGACCACACCATCAGGTATGTCCTCTCACTTTGCGTTCCTTACTACCCCTCCTCTCTCTCCCACCATCCTGCTCTACCCTCTGTCAACCCCTTCTCTCGCTCCTATTATCTACCATCGAGGCTAATCAACTCGTCGCTTCAGATTCTGGGAGGCTCTCTCAGGTATCTGCTCTCGAACTATCCAGCACTCCGAGTCGCAAGTCAATCGACTGTGCATTTCGCCTGACAAGAGATTTCTCGCGGCTGCCGGTCACCACAATGTCAAACTTTACGATATCAAGTCGACCAACCCAAACCCTATCCTAACCTTCGATGGACACACGGGCAATGTTACAGGTGTAGCTTTCCACTGCGAAGGAAAATGGATGGTTACCAGTTCGGAGGACGGTACGGTTAAGATCTGGGAGACTCGAAGCGGCTCGGTTCAAAGAAGCTATCACCACGGTCCACCTGTCAACGACGTCGTGATCCATCCAAATCAGGGAGAGATTATTAGCTGTGATCGTGGTGGAAATGTCCGTGTTTGGGATTTGGCGCAGAATAACTGCTCGCACCAGCTTATTCCAGAGGAGGACCAACCAGTCTCGAGTGTTACTGTCGCAAGTGATGGCTCTACCCTTTGCGCAAGCACCAATTCGGTAAGTTCCCCCTATGGCCTCATATAAGTTGCCACATCGCTTACAACAGATATAGGGCAACGTGTATGTTTGGCACCTCCTCCAACTTCGCGAGAAGACGCAACTCATCCCACTCACCCACTTCAAGGCGCACAACTCAACCATTACCCGTGTTCTCCTCTCCCCAGACGTCAAGCACCTCGCGACCTGCAGTGCCGACTGTACCGCTAAGATCTGGGAAGTCAAGGATCTAGATTCGATGATCCCCAAGCCTGGACAACCGCAAAGCGAAGATGCCGAGAAGCCATTCAAGCTGGAGAGTACACTCACTGGCCACCAACGCTGGGTCTGGGACTGCGCCTTTAGTGCTGATTCCGCCTATCTGGTCACCGCCTGCTCGGATCACTATGCTCGGTTGTGGGAGCTTCACAGCCAACAGATCATCCGACAATACAACGGTCACCACCGAGGACTCGTTTGTGTTGCTCTCAATGACTATTCCGAGGCTCGTTAGATTCATAATGGAACATTGCAATCTGAAGTAATCTTGGGATTTGCTACTGGGTTGCTTGTATTCAAATTTTCGAGGCGTTCAAGATGGCTGGCGTATTTGATTGCTTGGCGTTGCTGTAAGGGGATTCTAGCATAGCAAGGCGTTGCGTCTGTTTCTTTTTGTAGTTGGCTTGCTTAGCTTCATACCCTGAAATGAGATCAATGAATAAATCGAATTAAATATCTAATATAATGCTGCAAAGATTGGCGTGCTCGTATGAGATATCAAACTCCTCTCGACTATAAAATCAACGATAACTGGACGAAAGTGTAGATGAATCTTAAACGTCTCTACATAAGTAGATGCTCTATTCTTGAAGATGCTTCGTAGATATACAGTGGCAAAGAGGCGGTGATCTTATACTCTCATTGAGATGTTTGGCAGGTACCATTTCTTACTCAGTAATTTGAACCTCATCTATGCAGCGGAGGAGGGAGGGGGGCTGTTCTCATTTCTTCGAATCTGTGTTTGCTTATCAGAAATTGGGTATGGATCTCAGCGCGACAAAAGACCAGACATCTCATCTTCTGGTTTACTAGATGTAAGAACCGGCGTTATCTAAACACGATGTTACGTATTGTCACGGATTTATTTCAATATATGCTGAATTGAAAAACATGCCTACAGCCTACATAACTCTCCTCAAGCTCGTAGAGATCAGAACTTCCAGCTGCCGATACGAAAGTTGCTTTTTCTATGGACATGAGTTTTATCTCGGGGGAGGGTATAACGAGCACTTCCCCTCTCATGACTTCTATCAAGTTTAATCACATCCTCTTCATATCCTCCACTCACTTCCAAGTTTCGAATTTCACTCGTCACCTGCCTACTTGCGCGCCACCCCTGACACGTGACAGCATCCCAATCAAGCACCCTGCATATTCCATTGCACGTCGCAATTCAAGGAGTTGTGGCGTCCCCGTCAACTGCTGGGCACTGGTCAAAAGAGGTGAGGTGCGTTTTTCGTTGCACATCTAATTAAAGGTATGCAAGGATATCGGTCGATCTCCTAGCCTTGGAGCTCGAGATCCTTGTAGTACTACCTTACTTAAAATTTCTAGAGGAGCGACGGAGAAAAGACGGTACTTAGGTACTAAGGAGAGAATCTCGATGCTACACTAGCCTACTCATTACCGAACTAGTAAAAACTTCCTTAAGATCGGAGCAAAAAGAAAGAAAGAAGGCTACACGAGTACAGTACAAGTACCAGGATAGAAGAGCGGGGCAAAATGTGAAATGTGACAACGTCAGATTCATGTGATATCAATACTCAATTGAGCAAGCGACCTGCATTTTGTCGCACATCGCGATTTACTCGACAGAACATGGTCAAGAGTTGTCTAGTCTCAGCCCGTGTTTTGCTCTCTCTTCCTCATCAGCGTTTCCCCTCGTCTTACTCACTTCTTTTCCACCATGAACACGCTTAGCCCAAATTTCGATATATAAATCTTCCATTTAATCTAAAATTAATTGATACCAATATAACGCAATTAAAACCTTTCCCGTCCCTTCCTCACAACCCCTCTTTTTAATATAGTCCACAAAACAGAGAGAAGAGGAAGAAAGTCATGTGTTCCCCTCCATACTTCCCAAAAGAGCGAGGTGCACATTTCGTTGCATATCGCATTTCTCTGAACGAAATGTGTTGCATGAAATGATAGGAGGACTTCGCACCTTCTTTTCAACCAGATCCTGGAGCAAAAATGAGGCTTTTTTTCAGTGTTTTTGTGGGGCGGATAGTCATGTGTTTATAGGACGGACTAAGCGAGGTACATAATTTGTTGCACGTCGTAGTTCCAACAACCCTTTCCTGACAAAAGACCTTACTTTTTGATTTTTGATGAAATGATAGGAGGATTTCGCACCTTCTTTTTAACCAAATCCTGGAGTAAAAGGGAGACTTTTTTGGATTGTTAATGTGGAGCGGACAGTCATGTGTTTATGGTACGGAATACGCGAGGTGCATATTTTGTTGCACGTCGTAGTTAATGTAGACCCAAGAGTGTCTTGATTGACACTACATCGTTTTTGGTTTTTGATGAAATATTAGAGGGGCCTTGCAGCTTCATTCAGATTGAACTTCAGAGCGAAAGTCATGCTTTTTGGAGTGGTTTGGTGGGCGTCCATGGCTTTCTGGTTCAAGTAAGATACGGAGTAGCTACTCTTTTCTACGCAAAAGGTGTGAAATATGTCTATCATTGGCCAACGCACTATTCCCAATACAAAATTCCTTTTGATATCGACCCTTACCCCTGTTCCCCTCGAAACCCTTCAAAGTTTCAATTCTTAAGAAGGGTATTCATCCTCTACCAAAAAGTAGAAGAGAGGGATAGGTTATCAATACTAATACCCAATCGAGCGACTTGCATCTCCTGTTGCATGTCGCAATCAATCAGATCAGACGTCCGAGCACAATGGGAGGCATAAGACTTAATCGATCGCATCGATTGTGATACTCACACGCAATCCCAATCAAGCGACTCGCATATTTCGTTGCACGTCGTTCATGCTACCCTTGTTGTACGAACATTTGCAGTGTTTTGATTAGATCTCTCTCTTCCGTCTTTCCTCTCCCTTTTCCTTTCTACCCCAGGAAAGCACAGTACCCACAACTCGATCGATCGATCGATCCGTCTCATAGGCCGGTTGTTCCAGAATGGATTCTAAATCCCCAACAATTGGAGCAGCGACAGGGAAAGGCAAGATCATCTGGTTAAAGCCCAAAAGGGCGAGCTGCATATTTCACTGCACGTAGCGAATTTATCTCTAATTTTTCTTTTCTCCTGCTTCCTTTTCTCTTGTCTGGTTGGTTCCACCCCTTACTCCTTCTAACTCCCAAGTTCCCTCCTTAGAAAAGCATGACGCTCTTGATAGATACCCCCCAAGTACTTTTCATCAAAGGAAGTCCTAAAATCCAAATTCTCAATTTCTTCTACTATAAGGCCAACAGCGAAGATAGAACAATAAAGAGAACCTAAGACTAGGTAGAAAGTGAAAGTCACATGTTTATAGCCCGATGCAGCACTCTGCATATTTCGTTGCACATCACTGTTTACAGGACTCTGGAGTTTGGGTACGGGTCTTCTGCTGAACGAATGATGGATGCAATAATTCATCGTAAGCCAGGATCGTTTTCCATCCTATATGAATGTAGTGATTAAAGTGCGGGGTAAATTTGATGAAAAGTTGAGTGCTTGCCCCTCCCTAGCTTAGAGGCGTTTGTCGTAGGTTCTACTACAGAGTAGATTCCTCACTACATTACTGGGTAAGCACACACGTTTGATCATAATTCGAGAGTTGAAGTCTCTTTCTCACCTTCTCCCCCGTGTGAAAAGGTTAGGTATGGAGGTGGGGAAAAGTACTTCTTCTTCAAGACTGCTGTTGGGTAGCTTTTGATTAGTCTTGATTGGATATAAACAGCTACAATCCATCTCACTCATACCTCCCTCAACCCCTCCAATCCCGTAATCCCTTTCCAAAAACCTCCAATTTTCCAGTCCCTGAGAAAGCATATAAGCTCACGAGATCACACCAAGCTATTAAACAGAAGAAAGAAATCTAGTCACATGCTCACCCCGATCAAGCAGCCTACATATTTCATTGCACATCGCCAACAGGAATCGCCAACAGGAATTAGATTCCTTTTCTCGTCCGCCAATCATCAAAGCGGGTTTCGATCCTGGATCAATCAGATCAAGTCGGATTTTTACCACCACCGAATCACGTCCTCCCATCCAAACGCATATACAATACATCTCCCGTTCAAGCCGGGAAATTGTTTGTCCAAGTTGGGTTTGAACTGTTGTGATATATCGACGTGATAATCCAGATCGCCGATGGGGCGTGTGAGATGTCCTGGATAGGTAGATAGGTAGTCCTGGATCCCACAGAATCAAGAATCAATAAGTACCGACCGAATCGTTCTCTTTTCTCTCCCAGTTACTTCTACCTCCTCCGTATTCTATCGCATCCTTCTCTTCTTTGAGCACTTAAATATTCCCTACCACGTTATACCACCTTTAGAAAGCGAAGTCACGGGGGGAAGATGGTCTCATTCCCAATCAAGCGACCTGCTTATTTCGTTGCATATCGCAGGGAGCAGGTATGGAGGTATGGAGATATGTTGGAGGTATGCAGAAGGTATATTAAAGGTATGTACAATGTAATTTTCGCTTCTCACGAATACCAGCATTCCCAAATTAACGCTCACGTGAAAGAGCAATAGCCTAACCCAACCATAACAAGAACATGGCCCAAAAATCATAAATTCATTTATTCATCCACCATCTATCATCTCCACATAATCTCATAACCACCCCACCCCTCCTTTTCCCATCACTCATTCCATCAACCAAACTTAAACCCTCTCTTCGGATCCCAAGTCTGGTTCCCACCCGCCGGCGCACCCGCACCACCGCCCGTCCCANCCTCCTTTTCCCATCACTCATTCCATCAACCAAACTTAAACCCTCTCTTCGGATCCCAAGTCTGGTTCCCACCCGCCGGCGCACCCGCACCACCGCCCGTCCCACCGAACTTGATACCCATCCCGGGATCCCAGGTTCCACCCGCCATCAAACCGGGACTCTGGATACTAGTTCGCTGAGGTACGGGTGCGGAGATGTCGGCTCGTGGGTGAGGCGAGACAGGATGGGGTTGCTGAGATGGGGTTGGTTGGAGCGGGGACTGTAGGGGAGGGGGTGGGTGGTGGATATTTAGTGATGAGAGGGGTGGGAGGAGAGGGAGGGAAAGTTCGCTGTGAGGAGTTAGTAATGTGTTCAACAGATTGTGCATGAAAAGCGACATACGATTCCAAAACCTGTGCCTCCTCTCTCCTCTGATACACAAAATCCCTACACTCGTTCCGAAACTTCTGCACCCAATTGGCAAGCTCGTTGTAGAATTTCCGCCCTCCCTCGATGTCTCTAACAATCTCCTTGTACGTCCAATACGCTGTCTCTAGACTTTGCAGCGCCTGCTCTCTCTCCTTGGAACTCTTATCGCCCTTCCTCCCCGCCACGAAGCGAGAATTAGCCTCTTCCAGTGCCTGTAACAATAAATCTTGTTCCTCGCTATCGGATTGCAAAGCCTGCGAATCAACATCGTATTTTGTGAGGCGCTGGTCGAAGAAATCTTCAAAGTGGACTGCGGCTATACTCTGACTTGGGTACTCACGTTCTAAGCGGGCCGCCTCGGCGAGGATCGAGGTATTTATGTCGTCTTTTTTTGCCTTTTCTCGAAGTGCCTCGATTTTTCTACGACGCCGGGATTCGAGACGCGAAACTTCGTTGAGGCTACTTCTCAGTCGTGATACATCTCCTTCGAGCTGAGGTGGTATCGCAACACGACGAGAACTGGGCACAAAGTTCCCGATATCCCGGTCCGACCCGGAGAGAATTCGCAGCATGTCTTCGCATTTGCGAAATTTCTGTAGGACCGAGGCATCGCTACTTGCTGCGCCCTTAAGGTAACCGCCAATTTCATCAGCTTTAGCATAGAGCTTTGCTGCTGCAGTTCGAGAGTCGTCGCGTGTCCATCTGTCTGTGCCGTATTTCAGTCGTAGTCTTTGCTCTTCAGATGCTTCTGCTTGAAGAAGCTCTCTGCCTTCCGCAAATTGTCCTTCATCTGAGGATTTCAGTTTTGCGGTATCAGAAAAGGAACGTTGCAATCGTGTCAAAGCATCTGCTTGTCTGATTTCTTCGGCATGAGCGGTGAGAGTTGGTGGTAGTCCCAATGGTTTTTCCAGCGCTTGGAGTGAACCTGGGAGATTGAGAGAGCGAAGTGTATCGTGGATTTTGTTGGTGAGTATTTCTAGTTGGGCGATGATATTATCGTTGACGAGTCGGTCTCGTCTTTCTTCGTAGATACTGGCAGCTACATGTACAGCAAATGGAACTAGCTTTGCAAAAAGTGGTGGTCCGAACTCTTTTGTATCTCCAATGAAGCTAGCGGGCTCCGATATCTCTTTTGGGACTTTCGAAACTGCCATATTGGCTCTCTCAAGAGTTTTGAGTTCTGATTTTGGCGGTACGGGATCTACAAGGTCAGTATAGAAACATCCTGATGTTTCCGCATGACTCACTTAGATATATCAGGTCATTATCCTTCTCAGCTCGTTTCAAATCCTCCGTGACTCTATTTTTCAGTCCGTTCAGATCCCCCAAGACGACCTTATTTAAATATCGCGCTTCCTTTAAAGCCTCATTGACACAAGCAATACTGTCTCTCAATCTCGCAACCTCCTCCCCATACTTTCTCTTCTCCAAACAATCACAGGCTTGCCTGTACTGCGCAGCCGCAGCAAAATGGTGGTGTTTTGCGGTAGTATGATGTATCCACTCCGAACTAACCGCCTCACTCTTAACACCCCAGTCCCCAGCAGCACCGTAAAAGTCCGAGACCTTAGCAGCCAACTTCGCTATAGATGCATCTTTGTACCCATCCATGACAGCCTTCTGCCAAAAGCACTCCTGGGCTTGTGCCAGCATTAAATATTCCAGAGACTCGAGTGTACTGTCATCCATATCTTCTGGTGGGGTCGTTCTTGATTCGGGTATGATCTCCGTCTTGATATGTGAAATCACCCCCGCAGCCTGGCAGAAATAATTACAAGCTGCTCTCAGTCCCTCCGTCGTCCCACGATTAGAGTTCGTTGCTAATTGCGAGTAAAGTGCCGCAAGATTATAGAGGACGTTCGCTAACTCGAATTTGAGGTTATTCTCCGTAATCGGTCGCTCAACATTATATCCCAGCGCAGGATACCAAACGAAATCAACTCCAATCTGCAACTGCATCAGTTTCTCCTTCTTCGCTCTTGTCCGGTTGGTTGTAGAATCTTACATCAATAGGGAACTTTCCTCCCATCCAAGATATTTGTCCCGCATAAGCAGCTATCTTCTTGATCCCACTCGTATGCGGTTCGCGTACATGGACGACATCCCGTCGTAGGGCATCGATGACCTCCAGGTCCTGCTTGAACATGTCGGGATGCTGCTCATATTTGCTGGATATGTATTGTTTGATTGCAGATGACAGAGCGAGACTGTTGGTCTTGCGGAACGGGAGGAAGAGGATATTGCTGTCGGCCATGATTAGTTTGTTGGACTCGCAGAACGTGGGGCGGTATTTGGGGGAGAGACTTACTTAGCCATGGCACAGATATTTGTTTACAAGCTCGTTGGGAGGAACTGCGCGCAGTGAATATTTACAGTGAAAGTTGTAAATTGTCCGATGACTTCATTGGTGCCTCAGAAGTAAGGCATCAAACCTGCGGGGTGACAAGTATAAGAGAAAATCAGTTTCACAATATTAAAGTTTTCTGATTGATTTGTGCAGATAATTTGAAGAACGGGTTATGAAACGATGTTAAAAGACACATTTCACGTGATATATCTGTATTGAAGTAAATAGGGGCAAGATCAGTCAATCAAATAGGTAGCTCGCCTCGTCTAAGAACTCTTTTTTCCTTCTATACATAATCTATAAGTATAAGTATATTTCAACCTTAATGTACTGTACGCCTTTCAGATAGTAGATAACTGATATTCATTATGTTCTTTTACTATGGTTATATATTTATATATTTATTTATTTCTATTTAACGTCAAGCGGATTCTAGCTCGCGTGGGCTAGGTCCTAAAGAGTCCCAAAATAGGGCAAATGACGCTAGGGGGGTGCCCTAGGCTACAGGAGGTGTAAACGGAAAGAGCTAATTTACAAGAGACAGTTTAGAGAGAAGCTCCACTTTCGGAACAGCTCTTATCCTTAATTAGTTCTAGAACCAGGGTAACAACAAAGGAGATATTTAATAAAAGGAAAAAAGAAAAGAGAAATAAAAGAAGGCCTGTCCATCTAGCAGATTTTAGTGTAGAATCCGGTCTTAAAGTAGACCTGGCTAAATAGCCCCTCGCAGTGAGATCCAAAGAGCAGTTGAGGGTTCTTCTCAGCCTTTGCCAATAGCTTAGGGGCTTTGTTGTTTGCTAGCTTGCAAAAGAGTAGGTGGAACTGGGTCTTGGCCTTCCTACACTTACAGTTCCCTGAATTGAGTAGCGCGTCGAAGTAAAAGAAGCGAAGATGGTAGGCAGTAAAGTCTCCGTGTCCAGAACGAGCAGCGATTAAGCGAGCGAGGACCTCTCTGGTAACTGGAGAGACTTGGGCTTCAAGAACCAGGTACAGAGGCCTAGGTCCTTATATAGAGCTGGGAGTGTAGTATTCCAGAGNAACGAGCAGCGATTAAGCGAGCGAGGACCTCTCTTGGTAACTGGAGAGACTTGGGCTTCAAGAACCAGGTACAGAGGCCTAGGTCCTTATATAGAGCTGGGAGTGTAGTATTCCAGAGATTTCTTGCTAGCCTGTTCCCTAGCTCCTTTACCTCTCTCTGAAGCGTGGCCGTACAGAGTAGAGGGAGGGGACCAGAGGGGGGTGTCCGCGCCGCTTTCCCTGCAGCTTTATCCGCAATCTCATTGCCTAGGATACCTATGTGGCTAGGGCACCACCTTGTTCGTATTTTCCCAGGGTAAGATTGAGTTAATTCGTTGACCTTGTTAAAGGTTTCTTGCGAGGTGCCACAGGACCGGTAGGTTAACTGTAGTGTAGCTTCAAGGTTCTCGAGGCAGATCCAGCACTTTCTAGCCAAAGACCAGAAAGGGGAGTCTAGGGCTAGTTCTAGGCCATGTAAAGCAGCTCT